AAGCCAGCTTCAGGTCTTTGCTTTAATTCTGTAGAGGCTGCATGTTGGAACACGAAACAAAAAGTTTTCTTCATTAATGCTTCCCATATTGCTATTGGTCTGATGGTTACGCCCTACTTGACATTTCCCACAAATTTACAGTAAGAGCACATAAATCAGCACTGAGCGATCATAAAGCATGCAGTGTGCATGAAAAACATTTCTTTCTTGAGCATTTCTTCTGTGAGCACAAAGTCTAGTTCCTTTGCAAAGGAAGATTACACTTACTTGCATTTTAAGTAAGCAGGATGGATAATGTGAAGTGAACGTGACTTCCTTTATAACATATTTTTCTCATTCATTTTTGCAGTCTTGCAGAATTTAACTAGCACTTCTGCAGTGAGGATTCTTCTGTGTGTTGTAGCTACACATACACACATTTGCTTATGGAACAGCAAAACAAGGTGCACTTGCCTGAATAAGCCCGTGACACTTTCTGGTTTCTTGCCTACACTTCCATTACTGCTCAGGAAGGCTTTTCATACTCTGCACTGGAAACCAGAGTACTTCAATTATTTCCAGAGCCCTCTTCATTCATACCACTGCCTGGATGCATCAAACAGTTGAGCTCCACCTCTGCCAAGTCCTCTGCTCCCTCCTGTTCCTTACCTCTGCCCTCTGCACCTTAGCTCTCAGCCAGCACAGGCTCCCTCAGTCCTTGTCTGCAACAGATGCACTTACCATTAACCCCGATTGAAAAAATACTGCCAAACACCCTCTGCCATTAGCTGGAAGAGTCTGAATGACAAACAGAGGCCACTGTTTGTGTTGTCTCGGTAAAATCAGATCTTTACTTACTTCCTATGAAGTTGATGCAGGACAGAGCACAGCGCACAGACCGCGTCAAGGAACCTCTACCAACCACGTTAACTCAAGATATGGGAGCAGAACACAAGGATTAGCCAGTAGTAAGTGACTGAGGATCAGTCACTACTAAGTGACTAGGTGTCCCATCCCACTAGGTGGGTTAGGGCGAGGTTAACTTTTTAATTCTCTGCACGCAATCAGGAGTAATGACAATTACTCTAGAGGTTCAAACAAATCACAAATTTACTTAAAACTCAGCAGACCTACAAAAGATAGAGGCTTGGCAAAAGTTATAGCAACACTTAAAACTTAGCAGAACTATGAAAGATAATGGCTTAGCAAAACTTGTAATGATATTACCTTAATGCACTGAAAATGAAGTTAGAGACAGAGTGGTGGAGAGGAAAAGAGAGAAAGAATGAGAGAAAGAATGAGAGAGAGAGAGAGGAAAAGAGAAAAGATATCACCACCCTTGGATCCAGCGATGTTCTCTGCTTGTAGTTGTAGTCATCAGGTGGTCGGCACGCGCTGAAAACTTATGTTTTCCCTTTTTATAACCCGATGTGCCCACCCCATAGGCAGGGGTCTGTCATGACTGAGCAGGCGCAGTATGTGCTCAGGAATGTTCAGAAATGTTCTAGAAATGAGTCGGTGGGTTGTGGAGGTCTCACTGTTCCCCCCCACCTTCATGGCTGACCAAGTGAGTGGGGATCTGTCACAGGCACACGCGCACAGGACGCAGACAGTCTTTGCATGTTTCAGAAATAGAGGGGTGGGCTCACAAGACAGTATCCTGCCTCTGCAGGCTCCGTTCTTGGTCAACACTCTCTCGTCATCAGCCTGTCCCTGCCCGTGCCAAGATGGGCGTTTGCAACATTTACTCATTATCAGAGACTTACAGTAGGTGCTAAAATGGCATATGAAATCTAATCATAACAAGTGCAAAATAACATGTATAGCCCTATGTTTCTGTATTTCCCCATGTACATGTAAAAAGAAGTTTTTACACATACATTTTAAAGGGCTCTCAACGAGCTGTTACAATTAAGAGAAAAGCTTTTATTGTCAGCAAGAACAGTGCTCTGAAACATCAGCAGCATTCCTCCTTGGAGTGAAAAAGCTGAGAAGCCTGTTAGGAATTGCTGTGAAGAAGTGAGGAGTGCACAAAATACTGTTGAGTATTGGAAGGTGTGCGTGGGAAACCAACTAGCTTTTCAAATGGTAGTCTTCTTGAGCACTTGCAACCCTTTCTCTCACAGAGCAGGGTCCCACCTGCCGCATCCACCGATCTGGCATGACTGTAGCAGACACCCCAGACTTGGGCTTCCTGACAGAGAAGTTGTACATGAACTGCATGACTGTGCCTGACTGTCCTCACCAGCCCCGGGCTTGCAGCCACAGTTAAAATCTGTGCTGAGTGTTCCAGTTGCACAGAAACTCTGTTCCTCTTTCATAGCACTGGAGTTAAACAGAAGTAGTGGGAACTTTGACATAATTGGCTCATATGTCTGTCACCTTCACACACCCTTCACACACCCTGTGTGGATCAGGCTCACAGCCTCCACCTCCCTTTCCCCATGCCTACCCCAAAGCTTTCTCCTTACCCCTTCTTCCATATCCCTCAAGTCCCGAGTGTGGCTGTCACCTCCTCCGTTTCACTCTTGAGGAAATCAGTGCATGCCTAACATGTTGGAGAGGACAGGTTTCTGGATTTTACTCCCTCACGGAGGGAAGCTCAGGCGCCAAGGAAAGACGAGGGAGATAGCACTGAGTTCTTCTATTGAGTGGCCTCAGGGTTTCCTCGGAGGGCTGGGCTTTGGCTAGAACAACACTCATGGCCTTACAGATGCATGTGTATTCAGGACTGGGGGTAGAAAATTACTCTTCCTGCAGCTGTGCCACCTCTGGGTGATGGCACATGAAGAGGGGCAGCCCACAGTGATTGCAGCAGCATGACAGCACCATTCCTGAATGTGACTCCGTAGGCCGGATTTATCATTATTATTATTATTAACTCGCCCCAAGTTAGTTGCCGACTAACAAGCAAGAGTCAGCAGGGAGACTTCCAAAAGCCGCAGGACACTCTTTTCCCTCAGCGAGGTGTCCTACCAATGGGTCCTCACCTTTTATGTCCAATATTTCCTCTCCTGCATGAAAAGACTGGTGGGTGGGCAACTACCACGGTTGCCTTGGCAGCACCTGGAATGGCTTTGGGATCTGTCCACGCGTTCCCCAGGGCTCCTCCACCCATCCACATGGCTTCTGGAGAACAGCAGCTCATGGGGCACTAGCAGAAAAGCTGCAGCAGGCACACTGGCAGGCTGCAGGACAGGTCAGAGGCAAGCGAGTGCAAAGGTGCAGCAGCAGCAGCAGCACCGAGAAGGATCAACAGCACAAACCACAAATTCAGATCAGTCTGCCAGGCTGTACAGCTGCCATCATCTGCTGTGCACAGTGCTGTCCTCAAGTTCTGTTTGCTCTAAGGCAGAAGTTGCTTTCAATGAGCTGGGAAATAGGAAGAAGGTGCTGACCCCCAGACATGAGACATCAGATGCCACCTGGCAGGCCAAGGCTTTTTACACGTAGCAGGACTGCTTTTACCTTCTTATACATAATTTAAAAAAAAAAAAAAATTACAAAGTTTGCAACTCATGCAGACCCTACTACAAGAACAACATATCAGCTTGTAAAAAGATACCTCTAAAGAAGCCTCTGTACTTCTAGTTACTAAAACCAAAATTCAGGAAAGCTCTTAATACATGATGAATTTTGGACACACATCTAAGAAATTCTATTTTGCTACCTTGCATGACAACAAATCTTTCTTTAGGCACTACGAACAATGAACAAGTGTGGCTTAAAATGTGACATGCGGTGAAACACACAGTTCCGGTACCAAACTTCCACTGGCAAGGCTGGCAGCTTTCCTCAGAGCCTGTCCCTGCTAGACATCTTCAAGTCCACTCTACAAAAAGCACAACCGTTCATTGCACCATCTCAGCTATCTAGTTTGAATTTTACACCCTTCAGAAAGAAGCAGGATAAAATGCAAATTCCCGGTTTATGCCGTAAACTTTAAAAAACTTTAAAAACTCCTTTTCTATCCAATAAATTATATATTCTATTCTTGTGATTCAGTTCACAAAATAAGTTAAGACAGATACTGAAAAAACTAAGCTGTTGGCAACTAGTAATGCCCATATTGAGGCTTGAATTGTTGAAATGTGGCAGATCTCACATCTCCATACTTAGGATTTCTCATTTTACTGCTCTTTTTTATATGGTAGTTTTGGTAGATTTCAGCTTTCTTGTATGTGAAATTTGGATTTTCCAAAATTTTAGATAGTGTTAGTGGAATTTGGAATTATTTATTAATGCTTCTAAAATTCATTTGCCTGTATTGTGTTCTGACAAATTAAAACCAGTTAATTTTTTTACTAGTTTTGAAGCCACCTAGGTAAAGTCACTAAGGCTTTCCAAAATAAGATGAAAATAATACAACATACCTTTTCCTCTCAGGTGGCCCCATTTGTGCCTCAACACGTTAGCACCACCTTTCACACAAAAAAGGATGGCGGAGATGTTGTCTGGAGGAGGTTAACGCAGTTCATGGCAGGAGAGATCCTTCCAGCCTGGCAGGGCAAGGCGCACTTGATCTCTGTACAGACCCAAACTACTGCTCATCATGTAAATACTAAAAATAAAATTGAATTAAAAGCTTGATCCAGCAACATGAGATGACAAGTATGTATAGCAGATGACAAAGGTAAGGGAGGCATTAACTAAGGAAATGTAAAAGAGGTATTAACTGAGGGTTCCCTTGTATAAGCTGTGTGTCGATCTCATCGTACTATGATTTCAAGAGGAGTTTAAGCAGGTGTAACCAAATAACGTAGAAGGCTATAGCTGCACCCTTTCTAATGTATCAGTTCTCAGCAGAACAAAGAAGATAAGCACAATGTCCTCAGACTCCTCTTTGGACTGACAGTCTTTTTATGTAGTGGTCTGAAGCACTTGCCCTGGCAACAAAATGGAAAAACCAAAACAAAATACAATTAAAAAACCTGTAAAAATGCAATGTAAACTTCCTCCCACCTACCACTCTTCTCCAGTTTCTCGGGAGGAGTATGGCTGAAAAAAAAAAATTATTATACACTCAGCATGCAAGCCTCGAAATAGAGCACCTAGATTTTTTTCTTCCTCTATGGGAAAGACCAGATGGAGGGAAAAAAACGAATACTCCAAGCTGAGATCCTCGATCCTGTGAGGTGAAAGGAAAGGATATGTATAAACAGAAAATATGTAAAACAGGGACCATTTAATGTTTTTTCTTTGTCACATATAAACAAAATACTTTATGAATTGAGTCAACAAGTGTCAGGTGTTTGACTTTATGACTGCACTCCAACTGATTAATTGGTAACTCACCAAATGCAGTCTAGATGAACTCAGTGTCATTTCTGAGACTCTACAAAGGCGTAAGAAAGACAAAGCAATACATATATAAAACTACTATATAGAAACAAGAATCATGTTGTAAGAAATATTCACATGGTTTCATATAGAAAGAATAAATTTAAAGATGCAGTCTTAGAGAATTAGATACAATGTCTGGATAAGGTTGAAGTCCTAGCTGTTTGTTATCTTTCAACTTTTGTATTATAATTCTGGCAAATTCCTCTCCTTGGCTATCTGAGGTATCAAGCAGTTGTCGGACTTTTGATGTCCTCGTAGGTTTGGTGCTTATTAGTTCATAGTCTTCTTTCATGAGTAAAAATCTTGATAGAAGAGCATCCAGTGACTGATTCAAACATGCTTCAGTCATCTGATCAATAATTTCTTCTCTTTTACTTTGGATCCATTGATGAGCTATGTTCTGTTGTATGGTTTCCAAAACAAAATCTGAGATTGGAAAGGATTAACAAAAAAAAAAAAATTTAGTATTGTAACTGTCTCTCAATAAATAGTGCCACAGAACAAAGAACAAACTGAGAAAGAGCTGTTTAAAACTTATTTTTGGTCAGAAATACACTAGACTACTGAAGATGCTTTTACATTTCCCTCTTGTATTCCACGTTTAAAATGTTCCAATTTGTCAAATTTGGTGGTTAGAGTATTTCTTTTATCTGAATCACAGAATAATTTAGGTTGGAAGGAACCCTCAAGGAGGTCACATCTGGTCTAACGGCCTGCTCAAAGCATTTGCAAAATTCTCAATTCGCTCAAATTCTCAATGAATTTTGAGAACCTCCAATTGATGGGATTTCTACAGCTTCTGTGGGCAACCTCAGTGTTCAGTCGGACCTGGTACTGGAAAGAGAGAGGTGGTAACTTCACTTTGCAGTGTGATTTTTATTGAAGTTTCCTTAAAACATCCCTGTAGTTTCCTGCATATTTTCCTCAAGCTGAGGATTCACAGTGAAATGGTGCAGATTCTCATATTTCCAGAAAGGGGATGATGCAGCAGATCTTTATAAAGTTGCATGCCATTGTGTGGCCCATAAAAAAAATATCTCCGAATAATTCATTATGCATTAAAATTTCTTTTTGTTATTTTTTAGGAAGCACACTTTTAACAGTATTTTGATGCATGGGAATGTCATGAAGTGGGTTCTCAACTAACACAGAAGATCATTAAAGGTGAGATGCTGACAGCTGCTGCTTCTCTTTGCCCCGCTGTTACTAAGAGGAAGATTGACAAGCCTAAAAAGTGGGGAGAAGTGACAGGCAATGAGATGAATTAAGCTCGAGCTAGCTTTTATACCTGTTCTGCTGGACTGCGGCACTGCTACAGCAGTAGTAGAAAGGAGAAATTGTATGAGCAAAGGGAATGGGATAAAGTATTAACTTTGCTTAAAAGGAGAGAAAGAAGCTAGGAGCTACAGGTACATGTACTAGGTCACATTTTACATTGGTTTTACTTATTTTGTCATATAAGGCTACAAGGGTAGAATTACTTGCACTCTTAATTTGTAGAATGCTTTGTTTTCATTTTACAGATGAACAACACTTCCAGTTTCCATTTCATACACATACATATTTGATATTTAAGACACTTATTGTGGATCTGGGAATTAAATAAGTGTTTGCTGTACCTGAAGGAATTGGTGATGACCGCAGCATACATGATGCAGAATTTGAGGCATCTGAAATACTCTTGTCAGATGAGGGGAAATAACTGTATGGATGCACAAGAAGTTTGGCACTCTGAGTTACAGAGATATTTTCATCCATGCTCTGAGTGCTGAGAGAGTGTAGACCTCCAGAATTTCCATCTTAAAAAAAAAAGAAGAAAAAAGAACAAGCTGTATTACTTCTATGTTCAAATAAAATACAGCCATCAGAGACTATTTAGAGTAATTCCATAAAACAAGTCATAAACAACCGAAATTCACTTCAAATACATTATTCCTTACACTTACGTTCTGAGTACCTTTGTGTCCCTTAGCTTTTACCAAGGCTTGACCACAGGTTTGGGGGTCTTGTTTTATTTTAAAATAACATTGAAAGAATAAATTCAGTAGATGTGAACTTTAAAAAAATCTCTGTTCAACAGAAAATTTTTGTAGGGACTGGAAGAACAAAATAGCTCCTTCGAGTGTTTGGAGAGGTAGATGGAGTCAGTATGAAAGCTGGCTAATTTATTTTGATGAAGTTTGGCAGCATAACAAAGGTGGAAAGATTGAAGAAAAGATTCAGGTGGAGGGAAAGAACATGAAGACCAACAGTGGCATTTGGTGGGAAGCCAATGGAAGCTTTTGGTAGTCTGTCAAGACAGCATATGACTTCAAGAAAGCTTCATGTAAATGTTTGCAAAGAAAGGGGAAAAAAGGGTTTTTATCATGTGGAAAGCTTAATAGTTTCTATTTTTAGGATTTTTTATGGCAGAAAAAGATGACGGATATGAAAACAGCAGTAGGCATGACTCAAAGAAGAGCTGACAAATAGCTGATAAGAAGCCAGTTACAGGGCATATGCCTAATTCTGTGTACAGTTTTCATTACAGACTTTCACAGTGTCATTTGATAAAGAGCTTCACAGATGTTAACTAAGAACCAGAGACACAGATGTAAGAATTCAAATGAGCATCTAGTGACACAATAAGAACAGGTAGCCCCTTAGCTCAGGATTTATAGATACTCATCCAATGGGGGTATTTGAAGGTGTATTCCTAGATCAGAGTGTTGAGCTGTGGAAGAATATGGCTACCAGTACAAGGAGCAGGAATAGAAAAATGTGAAAGAAATTACAGTCTCATTATTTAAAGAATGGTGGACTGTAACTCATAGTAACTAGTATTTCATTTCATTAAAGCGAGAGAAAGTAAGCTGGGCAGAGCTATATAGTGTGAAGCAGCAGATGTTATCTACTGCATGAATGACAAAGGATTAGGAGACAACTGGTGTAAGTGAAAGACCATTTTAGAAAAGGATTTTAAACAGCTCTGCTGGGATAGATTGCTATAGATGTCTAGGCACACACAGATCTTTAATAGCATTAGAGAGAAAACTACTGGGATTGTACTTCACCAGTGACCATAGCATAACAAATAGAAACATGCTAATGAAATTTGCAGGTGTTAGTCAGAAAGAACAGGTTGACTCAGGTTACTCAGAAATAACCTAGTTGACCTAGAAGATTGGAGTAATAGCAGTGGAAATTTTGTAGCACAAAACACGAGATCTAGACTTCAAGATTTCAAGCTGGGGCTAGTGATTTGGAAATGAGGAAAAAAACAAGCAACCTAGGTAGATTATAATGAAGAATCTTGTGAGAAATGAAAAATAAAATTCTAAGGTATATTAAGTAAAGTTCTTATTTCAGAAAGATAACACTTGTACACTTCCATTTAAATACTAAGTAGAGATGTCTGGTAGCCTTAGTTCAATGACTTAAGTTAGAACATGCACAGGGACGACTAGTAGGATACCAGGAGAATGAAGAAGCTTATTTTACAAACGGACTTCAAAAGAATGTATCCTGCTTGTCTGGCAAAACAAAGTGTATTAAAGGATTACTCTTTATTTCAGAAATGAAATGGGAAAAGAGGGAAAAGAGCTATTTAAGCTTAAAGCAATGCCCATAAACAAGCGTGTGTATAAACTGGCTAGGGAAGAAAAATTAAAGAGATAGAAAGTTAGAAGACAGTTCCTGACTCTGAAGGAGCAAGTTTCTGAAAAAGTTTTCTAATCGTACTGGTGGAAAAAATGACTCAACTAAAATCTATAGTCATTAACTTCTGCCTTGGTGCCACGCCAAACTCATCTCTTGCCAACAGCTACCTGGGAACAGAGTTTCACCTGAAACAATTGCATCTCATTTAGGCAAAGTAAGAAGAATGTCAGTCTTGCTTGCCATTATAAAACTACCTGATGCAGATACTGGCAAAGTAATAACAAGCACTTATGCTGTAGTAAGGTTTTGTAGACACTATTTTCATAGACTTTACAGTATCTATACATATGTACAACAAAGTCTAAGCAGTGACACTGTAAAGGACCACCAACTGATCAATCAGATGAATAGTACCACCACAATCTCATCAATGACCTCCACAAGCAGATATGACAATTTTTAACAGGAACCACCAGCAAGAAGGGCTGACATTTATCATTACCTTACAGTCCATGCTCATGTTCAACCTAATGTTCCATTTTCTAAACTTCATCACAACATTCCTATTAAGCTTGGTAGCCACAAGTTACTCTTCACCTTTAAGATTTTCGTACTATCTGTATAGATAAATTCTTGGGTAGAGGTACAGACAAACTATACTACACTTGCTTGCTGCTGTTTTCCCCTGTAACTCAAATACCTTAAGCCTCCCATAATTTTTTCCTGCTGTATTTATATCTTTCCAGTACACTAAGTACAACCCCAGAATTGTGGACGTGTTCAAACAGAAGCTGAAAAAGAAACTAATTGTGCCCTCCTACCTCTACCAGAATACCTACAATTTTGCAGCACCTCAGCACACTTTTTGATTCCCTCCTTCATGGCAGTGAAGTCAATCTCATCTTCTCTGCTTTCATAACACTGGTCCCTGCAAAGCCAAAGGATGCTCCATTCTTTTGAAATATACGCTTGCATTTTTTCAAGGGAGGGAAGTGAAGTGTAGTTTTAGTTTCACAATGTATTGCTACTTCACCTGAGTCCTATCACATTTTTCTGGTTTCTGATGTCAGCAAAATCTCAAAATGGAGCGTTGTCTAGGAATCTTGCCAATTTTTATTCAGAAAAGGTGACAGCTACAAAAGGTCTGTGCAGATACTTTTGCAAGGCAATCTATTTATTAAAGCCATTTTATTTGTTGAATCAAAAACGAGTGAGAGGTTGGGCTGCATTAGAAACTTACAGTTTGCTCAGCTTTAGGAGTGCCTCAAAATGTTTAGCCCTTTTATCTGTAGAAGTAGTTCACAAATGATTAACCAAACTGCCAAGAGTCTGAAGGGACAAGTAAATGCTGTCTCTGCACTCACAACCCTGAATGGGAAAACTGGAGCTGTGAGCTGTGGGGGTTTCTTGTGACAGGTACAGAAAATCAGAGTTAAAATACTCTAGTTTTCTACCCAGAGCACTAAGTTTACAAAAGACATCTCTTTTCCGACATAAACAGACATCCAACTATCTACTGTGCAAATGCAGTGTTACAGTGGGAGTGTAAAGATGTGATGGCAATTTAAATTTATATGAAGTCATTAGTATCTCTACCTGATGAAAGGATATTACACTTGGGAACAGACTTGAGTCTTGATGTATCTGGAGAGATGCTCCGAAGGGGAAGTGCATCGCATTGTATGGAGCCAGAATATGCTTCCTGAAATTATTCCAGTTGTAGAACGAAAATGCACATTAAATAAATACAAAGTTGCAATGATTCACAGAGTACTTTCCCATCACTGTCTTTTCCCTACTATCTAATGGCTCGATAGACAGCACAGCTAAAATACAGTAAAACAGAAGAAATCTATGAAATCCTAATACTTGTGGTTTTCCGAAGCTGACAGCAATTTTGTATAGAAGTTTAATTACTACTAAGAACCAAAAGAAGCAGCATTAAGAATCAAAATATAAAAGCAAATCTCTATGCCCCTATATAAGCAAGCCCTGTAGAGGTGTAAGGGAGCAGAAGACAGTCTCATACAAGTTGCAGACATTGTGTGCTCCGTTCCTCCTTGAGGGACTCGCTTTCCCACACTTAGAGGACAGAGGCCATGCCAAACATGCTCTTCTTATTACTGCTTACCCACCCTTTACTATCTTCACCTATACGGCTATGCATTTGTTACACCCTGGCTCAACTAATGCATTTTACACCTTTCCTGACTGCATAGGAAAGTAAACTGCAGAACAATTCCCCCTTACGAAGTTAACCCCCCTTTAAAGCTCTCAGGATCTTTAATGATGCCGACACACCAAATGAAATATGTGAAATATTTACCTCTTGGGGATTCAGAGGTATATTTAGAGATATCTGCTCCACATCTGCTTTCTTTCCACTCTTGTAAATACATCGTGATTCATATAGTGACTAGAAGAGAAATATTTACCTATACTAAATTTCTGCTAGAAGACAAGATGACAGCTCTGTAAAACACATACTTCAGCTAGATACAAGATTAGACAAATGACAAAGGTGATTACATTTCTTTTAGCAAGCAAAAGTTACCAAGTTATTTGACCAACTCATGACTGTAAAAAAAGCCACTTACCTTTGATCTCTTTAACAGAATTACTGCTTCCATCATAGCTATTTCATCAAACGTTCGCAGGACTGGCTCAAGGTCTATTAAGCATTCTGAACAAAAAAAGAGTACTTTTGCTGAAGGATTTAAGGTGGAAATTAAGCTTTCATTTTGCTAAAGCTACTTTCTTACATGTACAATGTAATCTGTCTATTGATACATATCAAACTACATACACTGCTGCACAGAAGTTTCTCACTTTGACCTGTTAGAAACGCAACAGTTTCGCATCACCAAAACCAAACCCTGTCCTCATCTGGCCACCTCAGAGTGCGTCACTGTTTCCTACTCCAACAGAGGTGTTAGAGATTTATATGAAAAAAAAAAATAAATTAAACAAACAGCTCCCCACCACAGCAAAATCCAGAATAGGTGCTGTGCGGCAGGGCCAGAGAAGATGGTGACAGTCAAGGCACTGACCTATCACATCCTGTGAGTCCAAATGAAAGTGTCCGCGTGCTCACCAAAGGCAGCAAGTCAGAGAAGCTAAAATCATCTGCTCACATGGGGAGGAGACACATGACAATCCAATAAGCAAGTGATAACCTGTGCTATGTTCCCTTGCTTTCCAATGCTGAAAAGTTTACAAAACTAAGAATTTCAAATTTTGAGATGACTGTATTATAAAAATGTCTCTTTGAAACTGTGCCCAAGTACAACAAAACCTCAGGAAAGGACGATGGCACATCACAATTCTACTGCATTTCTACGGACTCCACCCATTTGGCAAAATCCATTTACTGTACTAGCAATCTGTCACACTACATCCTTATTAACATATTTTTTATTTTTTACTATATTTTTACCACAGTTCTGCCATATTAACTTTTTTCCACTAGCATCTTCAAGACATACATTCATTTCTGGGATTCTTATTTTCTCGCATCACCTAAAACAGTTTTACAGGTTTGGCACTCCATTTTCCACACTGAAATACTAGGACTGTTAATTTTTGTTGCTTATAATTAAATTGTATGTACACATTCCAAGTAAATGCAGAAACATGGTGATAAGTAGTCTTTATCCCTGCTTTATAAGGGCAAGAGATAGGTTAACCAAGCTCTTCTATTTAAAATTTATTTTATAAAAAGAGGGTTTGGGTGTTTTGGTTTCCCCCCCCGAGCTATGGTAATTGCAAAATTTCCCAAAAAGCGAGCTTTACTTCCCTTAATTTTGCAACAGTTTTGCAACTTCCTCTTTCTTTTTATGATAGTAAAGTAGGGGAAAAAGCAATGCATGTTTTCTTCAAAGACCACCTTACTACAGACACGGCGCTAATAACAGAACCCAAGTTAGCTCACACTTCAGTACATATCCCAGGTAATTATCCCTTCAGTGTGACCATAGACTTTGATTACTATTTTGTTTTGGTTAACTGACACAGAAAAACAAGAATACACAAGGAAATATCGTGATGCGTCTATCCTGTTTGATTTAAAAAAAATATTATAAATAGATATATTTCCTTGCTTGGAAAAAAGAAAAATAAATCCACAATGTACAATCATACAAACCAGAGTCATGCCAAAATAACCTGACATTTCAAAATGTTCTTAATGCAAAATTAAGAATGTCTCAAAAAAGGTCAGGTAATTCATTTTGGACTGTAAACTCAGCATGAAGATGCTGTATGTATTTGGATGTGTCCCCATTTTGTCCTCTGCCAAACTGATGCAAAAAAAATGAAGTTATGAACATTTCTTTCTAAGCTATCTGAACACCATTTTTCTTTTTTTACACTTTCCAGCTCAAAGGAAGTATGCATATAAAGTTTTTCAAAATAATAAACAAATTTCTGTTCACCAAAGCTACAAATGAAACATTAAGATTGCTGACCTCTCTACTCAGAACATTAAAAAAAACCCTCAAAAACCCCTAAAAACAAAATCTACCAGAACCAACTAAAAAACCCTAGTATTTCAGGCTTGAGTCATTGCATCCTCAACCTAACCAGTGAGGAACTTAAAACACAGAATTGTTTAAGCCACACCTCTCTGTACTGTTCTACATTTGAATACTTTCAGTAACTCCCTTATTCAACATTTTTGCCTCTGCGGG